TTGTTTCTCCAGAGATGAATTGAGGGCCACCGTCGGTTGAAATTTCTTCTGGGACTCCAAATGTTGTAAATAGTTTACGTAAGCATGTGATAAGACCTTTTGCACTCATTTCTGATGTTCCTGATTTTATTCTGTAGGCTTCGGTCCATCCAGAAAGTCTATCTCCAATGACCAGATAATCCCAGCCACGGAATTCAAAATAGTCAGCAAATATGCATTCAAATGGTGTCACAGGGATGTGAGGTCGGATGGGTGGTAGTCGTGCATTAGAAGGTGCATTTCGATTACAGCTGCAACAGTTATCGCGCTTACTTTGTATGCTGTGAGTGATACCTGGCCAGAAAACAGTGGCTTGAGCTCTGGCTGTCATTCCCGATACTCCTTGGTGGGCTGAGTGTAGTACGTCCAATATCTCTTTCCGTAGAGTAGGTGGGATTACAATTCTGTCATTGTATATTATAACCCCGTCGGACACCATCAAGTCATTGCGGTATTCCCAGAACGGTAAAAGATTTGGTATGAAGTTGTTCTTATTTTTTGGGAACCCGTTTTCTATTGCTAACATTAATGCTTTAAAATCAGTATCTTTTTCTGTCTCTGCTTTGACACTATCCCATGTTACTGCAATCATTTTATCTATGTCGTTTCGTATCGAGGCTATTATTAGTGATTCTGTGTTGTCAAAATCAGTATTTTGATTGCAAGTGGCTGAATTATCAGATTCCTTTGTGTTCTCTGCAGGGTAACGAGAAGTAGCATCTGCTGCCAGGTTTGTTTTTCCTGGTTGATGTTGGATGGTAAATTTCCATGGCAAAGTTCTCTGTTTTAGTCGGAAAAGTCGTGTGTTAGCAATTTCATCTAAGGTCCTATCTCCTAATAATTTGACAAGTGGTTTATGATCAGTTACTACCATAAGGTTATCACAACCTTGTGTGAAATATTTAGTCTGCTCCAGGCTCCATGCCACTGCTAGCATTTCGCCCTCAACTGGTGCATATCGTTGTTCAGCAGATGACAGGAATCTGGACCCTGCTAGGGTTATTTTCCATCCGTCTATACAGCAATCTGGGGAGTCCGATTTACATTCACAATGTTTTTGGCTTAGGTAATATCCTATCCCCAATTTTGACCAGTCGCATCTTAAACAGGTCTTCTTGGTGATGTCAAATATTTGGACTCCATCTTTAATTGCATTGATAATTTTTTCCTTTGACACGTTGAATAAAGTGTTGAGTTCGTCCGACCAATAAAATTTTGATTTAGGGCTAAGCAGAACTCTGAATGGGGCCATAGTTTCTCGAAGTTGAGCCTAATGTGATACTTGGGTCACTAAGCCGAACCAAGATCGGATGTCTGTTATTGAGGATGGTGTTGGAAATGATCTAATGGCATCGATATATTTAGGTAGTGGTTCAACTCCATTTTCAGATATTCTGAAACCTGCAAAATCCACTATTGTTTTAGCAAATTGGAATTTTTGTGGGTTCAAAATGATCCCAGCTTTGCCAACAAGCTCAAGAAATTCGATTGTCCGCCACCAATGTTTGACTAGGTCGTCATCGTAGTGGATGGTGTCATCTACACATCTTTGTTTGCCAATAAAGTCTGCTAAAATTTCGTCGAAACGTCTGTTGTAGCCATCCCCACTAGATACAAAACCTTGAGGAGCTCGGATGTATCTGTAGCGCCCAAAAGGAGTAATGAAGGTGGTAAGATTCCTGTCTTCAACCCGTATCGGGATGCTATGATAACCATTCCATGCGTCGGTTACAGTTTTCCATGAATTTCTTGGGACTGAACGAGCTAGTTGGAAAGGCGATTTCATTGCATGAGTTTCTCTGTAGCAGTACTTGTTTAAAGGAGATAGATCAACAGTGCGACGAGGCCCACCGTCATGCTTACGTGTGATAACCATTCTATGACACCATGTTGTAGGTTCTCCTAGAGGTACCTTTTCAATGACTCCAAGAGTTTCATCACGAATTAAATCCTTTTCCACCTGGTCTTGCCAATGAATTGGTATGGTGGCTGGAGTAAATGCTGCAACTGGTTTGGCATTTTCTTGAATTAAAATACTTATTGGAGGTCCCTCCATATCAGGTAAAATCTGGTGTGGACATGTGTTGAATGTTGAAGCAGAGTATCTTTCAAGGAGCCACGCTTTCATCCGTTCGTTGTTTTCAGGACAGCAGACAAATGGAAGTTTGGTGGGTGCACCTGCTGGGAGACTTCTTTTGGGGCAATTGCACACGTGTGAGCTATTATTTTCACTGGATGTTTTGGTCCCTATAGTTATAGGGCCTGAGTTAATAGCTCCGTGGAGGGCACTGCCTATCTCTGGAAAGTCCTTAGAGATGATACCCAGTTGGGTCATTGCTTCTTTAGATAGGTAGAATCCGTTTGCGTCTGGACTTATATAAACCATTACTGCACATTCAACTTTGTGTCCATTAGATTGTCGTCCTTCGAGACGTAAAAGAATTGCACCATCTATACGAAATTGGGTTTTATTTGCGGCCGACATGCTATGTTTCACAGGTATTAAATTGTTTGCATTAAAGCCTGCACTGTCAAACCCTTTCCTAGACCATAAGCAGGACTGTGCACCGGTATCTGTAATAACTTGTATATATTTTGGTATAATAGGAGGAAATGGAATACCAAATGCGACATAGTCTGATTTGTTAGTAGTCACACGCAGCTGAATTGTAGGATGAACAAGCAATTGAGCTGTGGCCCATCCATCATGGGTAAATATGTGATGGTTTATTCCTGTGCATGGTCGTTTCACATTGGTCTTCATTTGTGATCTAATTTTTTTATTTGAATGCTCAATTGCACTTAACTTTAACACAAGTCCGCCTGCCTCAGCATCTTTGGTTGCATTCGATTTCTTATCATTTGGGATGATTCTGTTGTTAATTTTAGAAGTGCGAGATCTGAGCTTCTTCCAACAGTCTAGACACAGCTTGTGGGGTTTTTTGTTCCATCCTCTGGATGTTTCTGTAAATAAACTGTAAGATTCTGAGCAATCTGGACATTTGGCTGTTATATTGGTCCCTTTACTACTCTGTGTATTGCTCTTGTTTTGTTTCCTGAAAGTTGATACACTTGCTGTTGTTGAACTACAGCCTAGTGCATTTCGTGCCATTTCTTTACCCTCTATAAAAGCAATGATATCTGTGACGGAGGCTGTGTCAAGGGAGACCCATCCAAGTACGTCTTTGCGGATGTCAGTATCTGATAGCCCAGCAACAACAATGTCTCGTATGATAACATCGGTAAAATCAACAGTTGTTTGTGGGTGGCAGTGGCATTGAACAGTGTAGTTGCAAGTAGCAGCCTTGCCTTTCAGTTTTGCATAGAATGACCGAATACTTTCGTTGTGTCCCTGTCTCATTTGAAGGAGTTCTGCTCTTCTGACGCAAGTGGCTACTGGGATAACGGCCAGTTTTTTCATTGCTTTTAGAAATGCCTCATCATTTTCATTAATTATCATGGGATTTTCTTTTAGGAGTTGATTTCCAAGGTCGTCCTCACAGCACTGAAACAGCTGTGCTGTCATCTCTTCTTGTCTGATGTCTGTACATCTCTTAAACAATGTCCAGCGACTAATAAAGTTTGCCCACTCTTCTTCTGAGATATCCTGACCGATGTGGGGGCGATCCATTTTAGGTGCCTTGTGTTTTGAGAAGGCTGAATGAGTGTCAATCGAGTTTGGAGGATGGTGAAGCTGGTGACTGTTGAATAATGCAATTGCAATTGCTTCGCTGGGACCTTCAATGACGACATTGCATCCTGGGGCCTGGCAAGGTAAGCTTATTGTGGACATAATGTAGGAAAGAAAAAGGTTAGCAAAATCCTACCTTTTGTGTGTACATTAACAACTTCAAACGAATATATAAGTGAATTACAATTTCAACCACTGATAAGAAGTTTTTATCTTTGAAATACCAGTGTTTCTTTAAAATTTCATAGAATGCATAAGAAACTAACATAAACAAAAGTTAGTCGTTGTTCTCAATTATAATTATATCTTAAACAATGTTAGTTTCTAAATGAAATAACAATAAGTTTAAACAACAACAATATAAAACAATATAAAAACAAGAAATGAATAATGTCACTATTTCTACACCTCAAAGTAATAATTGCGCTTTATCTGCACATTTTTTTTTATTAGGAACTTCCAAAAAAAAAAAAAACAGCCGTATTTGATTAATTTTGTACAAAAAAAGCTGTAAAAAAAGTGAGTTTAAAGACGCGAGAGAACAGTTTAAAGACGTGACTTCCAGAACATTCCCTGTTTTGCCTAGATTTCTCAGACAATGGCTCTTAAACAGAATAAGGAATTTAGCAATGGTCACATAGAGCAATATAAATCCATCATTGCTTAACGCCACGAGAAATGCTCCATACAATTTTTTGAAGCGCATGAATTTATGAGCTTCGTGAAAGTTCTAATACTATTAGTAATAGAAGATTGTATAACATAGAAGTTCTGTTATACAATGTTATTCATTGGGTCTAAAATTGTAGAAATTCCAAATTGCTTGAAAGATAACATTTTCATAATATTTAAGGATAAAATTGTAAGGTAGCTTATCAAAATCAAGTAAACAAAACAAGCTGTTTTTGCAATAGTCAATTATATCCGGCAACTATTTAATTTTGATATTTTTTCATACATGTATAGAAAATGTATAGAAAGTTTAATTCTGCTAAATGTCATAATTAGCACTTTTGCTTTGAATTCATGAAAAATGAATTATATTAAAAATAAAATATATTTAGAATTAAATAAACAAAATATATTTTAATTTAATTATCATTATCATTGGAATTTGATAACTCTAAGTTAGATATGAATAGTTCTCACAAATTAAAAAAAAAAAATTACCTAGTTTCCATTTCGCTAAGCAAAAATCATGCTTTTTTTTTTTTTTTATTTTCAAATATTTATTTTTAACACTGTTTTTATTTTGTACACAAATTAGTTTTTTTTTTTTGTTTGTTTTTTTTTTCTTTACAGAAATTATTAAAATGAAATTTTACTTGCACTTCAACTTAAAAAATGATGGAATAATATCTGCTGTTGTTGAAGTCAGTGAAAATAGCTGCTCTGATATAAAAACTTGTATACAACTTATATGTATCCAACTTCAAAAAGAAAGAAATTTACATGTTGAAGCATCTTCATTAGATATATTTTTTAAAAAGAAGTTATTGTCATCCGATGTATCCTTGTCAAGCTTAAGTTGTGGTGCTGATTTGTATGTAGAGATAAATACTGATAGAGTTTCAAAGAATAAAGTAGTTTATGACAAAAGTATTGTTTCAAAATCAAAAAATGGCATTGAAATAAAGGAGAAAGAAAATTTAACTAAAAATAGTCAGCAATGTACTGAACTCAAGACGTTACAGCTTAAAGCCGAAAAATTAGTTGAGAAAAAGCGTTATGATCTAGCAGTTGCTTTATACAAAGAAATGATTGAAATAGACAAAAATTCTGTTGATGGAATACTTGGAGTTGCATACATTTATTTTAAAGCACACCGTTATGCTGATGCAATACCATTATATTTAAAAATTGTTAATCAGGAACCTTCAAATTTTACTGTTCTTATAGACTACAGCGTGTCACTTATCAAAATAGGTGATTGCCAGAAAGCAATTAATGTTTTGTCACATGGTATTAATGATATGAAACGCTCAAAGGATTTTAAAAAATTAATCCATGATGCTAATGTTGCGCTTGCCTCTGCACTTGAGTTAAAAGGTGAATTACAGCATGCATTTCAATTGTATTTAACTGTTGCTCAAATGACTGAAAAACAGCATATAGATGCTTTAATAGGTTATGCAAGAGTTGGCTTTAAACTGAACCAGGTATAAAATTTATAATAAATTTTTTTTTTCTTTTTATATAAAATTTCTTCATTGATCTTTAAAAACACAAAAAACTAAAAACTGTTACTATTTTATATACATAATTTATGTTCATGTCCTGTTGATGAAGTTTTACTGACCTTATATTAGGATAGGTTTACTCTTGATGAAGGCTTATCTTTACTCTTGATGAAGGCTTACCTATGAGAAGAAACTACCAATTAAAAGAAAAACTTATACAAAATCCCAAATATTTGTGTGGGTAGGAGCTCAGATACCTTGAATTGTAATCTTCTAATGAAGTACAAATACTGAAATATACATATAATAATGAAGTATAAATTATGAAGTATCACAATACAAATACTCAGTTTGCAAAACAAAACAGTTGTAAAAATTGAGTTAATTCTTTAATAATGTCATACTTAAATAAGAAAATAACATCAAGAAAACACAATTAAATTATTACTAACAAATTAATCCTAAAAAAGCTGCAAGTAATCACTAACTAGTTTAGGAGTTAACAGAAAACAAAGAAGAGAGTTTGAATTGAATGACAAATTATAAGGAATTGAGTTTTATTTTTGAAACGAGAGATAATAGCTCACTTAAACAACAGTCATGTTGAAAAAAGAGATACAACCCTATGACAATGGGACAGAATTAAGCTTAACAGTTATATCAGGCCCAAAAATATTATAAATAAAAGAGACATTCTCTACCTCTATAAACTTATTTGCCCTATTAGTAAGCTGACCAACATACTCCTTTTTAAGTAGGAGAGTGCAGCGTCAAACCTAATTAAAATTTAGATTTTTACTACGCTCTCCTACATAAAGTAGGAGAGGAGTACGTTGGTCAGCTTACTATTACTCTAAAGTAATAGTAAGCTGACCAACGTACATAAAATTCTTTGTCCTATCAGTATTCTATTTATATAAAATTATAAAATAGACAATAGACAGAATTCTGTACCTGGATAAATAAGAGATTTATAGATGATGATTGTGCCCTCTCAAATTATCAGATATCTAGCATATCAACAATAATATCTAGCATGCTTTAATAAACTGTGTGAAAAAATCTATTTCAGAGATGTTTTTTACATTTTTATTTTCCTCCATTATATTGATTTTTTAGTTTACTTTACTTATGATGTATGCCTTTACTTATGATGCATACCTTCGGGCAATAATATCTAGCATGTGTTAGGACAATAAGATCTAGCATGCGTTGGGACAATAAAATCTAGCAAATCTTGATTAGTTTTTGTTTCCTTTATCAAAAACACAGGATACATTTGGTGAATATTTTTTTAACAGTATTATGTTTTTAACATGTTGAAAAATTATTTCTCAATGGCATACTAGTTTCAGAGAAAAATTATTGAAACATATTTGATTCGTTTTCAATTATTTTTTTTTATTTCATTGATGCTTGTTGTCCTGCTCACAGGCATCCTTAAAACACATTTGATACTCATGAATATCTACCGGAATAAAAGAATCTTTAATTATATTTAAAAAAGTCAATGTTTATTATTACAAGTCTTTTGTATTGAACAGAAATATCTTTTGCATCCAAAACATGACCATTTTTAAAATATTAGAGAATATATTTTAAAAACATGAAAATTTTTAAGCAAAAAAAAATCTCAATTTTCTCAGTTGCTACTTGTGTAAAGGAATATATTTAGCTTGGCTATGGATTCGTCTGTGTTAAAGGTATCTATTGTTTCCATATGGTCTTTAAAAAGTGCATTGCCATCACGAGCAATAAAATCAAATAATCAGTTGAATATTTTTCATATTTGTAACTATATAAGTAGCCTCCTCGTCTGTAGTGGCCTTCTCGGCCTTGAGGAGGTGAAGTAAAATTAAAAAAAAAAAGATGTTAAATATTTTTGTAATATTATATATAATAATTTAAAATATTTTATTCAAAAATATTTTCTATGGAAAATGAAAAACAACTTTTACTTAAGCTGTTTACCAATTTTCACCTAATAAAATCATTTTAAATGAAAACCCATCCGAATTTACTAAATATTTTTAAGTACATAAAAAATTTGGAAATTCACCAACTTCAAAATTACATATTTTCACTTAAAAATTAGCTATAAACATTACATTTTTTGTATTTATCTACAAATTTATCTGGCTTTCTAAATAAATAATTGTTATAGCCAGCTGTGAAAAAATATTTTTTGTCTATTTCCACTTCTGGGTTCACTGTGCAGATCCAACCAATATGTGTGAACACGAAATTAGATCACCAAGACGCAAAAAAACTTGAAATGGCACACACGCATTTTATGAAGAATAACTTTCAAAATCTCTTGAAACAAAGAAAATAAGACATTTTACTAAAAAAATAAAAAATATAACCATATATTGCATTTTATTTCCAAAATAAATGCAAGTGTTCCAGTTTAATAGGCGCTGTTCCAATTTTAGCAACTCTCCCTTCGTAGTATGATGGAAAAGTTTATTACATAATTGTTGAATAATATAGAGTTAAAGCCGGAAATAAATTTGGAAAAATTTGAAGTGAAAGAAATAGTTATCAAATTAAGAATCCAAAATATTTACTTTTTGCAGACTTTTTATATTTGCAGCATAATTCTACAGTATTTAAATCCTTGAATATATAATATTTCTCAGCAAGTTTTTTTAATTTTTTTGTATGGGTTTCAATGTTTTTAATGACAACTAACCCCCCCCCTCCTTCCCACAAAATCCTCTACCTTAAGTCCACATAGGCTAAAGGCTAACAACTATTTGTTATCCATTGTATATACAAAATAATCATAATAAAAAAATAACAAACATTTTTACAAACAGTATTGTAAAATATTACAAAATAACATTTGTTTGATTTTTTTATTTAATTTTTGATGCTTTGCAGGGAAGTAAGATTTTTCTGGGGCGTAAGTATTTGCAGGAGTGTAAGTATTTGTTTAATTTGTTTAATTTTCTTTTTTTATTTAATGATTATCTTTACACATTTATTTAATTTTTTATTTAGTTTTTTTTTTTATAAATGTTCCAGGTATCTTTAGAGGATGTTTTTCTTGTCCTGCTTAATGCTATCGTGAGGAAAAAAGATGACAATGGTGTAAAAAAATTGTTTGCTGAAATGATTCAGGAAAATGGCGGTTATAGTGCTTTAGTTTCACAAATGCAAGATGCTAAGTCTGATCCAACTGCCGTCGTCTACATTGCATCGATAGTGCGTGAGTTCGGTGCTCTCAACAAATGCAAGGACCTACTAGAACATGCTTTTGCTCTAGCACCAAGTAGTATTGACATCGCATTACTCTTGACTCATGTGTATGAGAATCTATGTCTTTTTAACGATGGTTTAAACTTTGCAATGAAATATTTTAATGAGAAGCATGATAGACAGGTGTTGCGACGTGTTGATTTGAGTCCTGTTTCTCAAGTTATAAAACTTTTAGAATCACAAAATTTTGATGACTTAAAAGGCTTTATTTTATCAAAGTTGTCTCAAATGAATGGAGATAAACAGTCGCTATTAAAAGGTAATATGGCAGACATAGAGTTACAACTTTTGGCACTATACTTTACAGTTGTAAAAATATGTTTTGTGATGGGCAACTTGGATTGTGTATTATTATTTGTGAAACTACTTGATCCTCTGTTTAATGCTAATGAAAATCTTCACAAAACTCTAATTAAAAATGAACAGGCTTATTATAGTTGTATTAGTAAAATATATAATACGTGTCCGCCTCCGTTTGTACGTCTTTCTCCACTCGAAATCAGTGCAGCTGATCAAAAACTCATTTTTGCAGTTGGAGAGAGTCACGTGTTACCTTTAGCTTGGAGGAGTCTGAAGTATAACGATCTTGATTATGTAATTCATCCTGTTTTAGTGACAGGAATAAAAATATGGCATTTGCGTAAAGATTCCATGTTTTACACACGCTCTAATTTTGATAATGCATTAAAAATGATTCCTGACGGTTCTACTTGTTTTTTTCTTCTTGGTGAGATTGATTGTCGAGAAGGGGTTCGGAGTGCTATGGAGAAATGCTGTTACGATTCAGTGGAGCAATGTGTTAATTTTTTAACAGGGGTTTACGTGCAAAAGTTATTACATTTGGCAAAAAGTAAAAAATTGAAAATTTTTGTCCACCCAATCGTACCCACTTTAAAAGAAACATTTTTTAACGTACGTTTATTAAATGAGTGCTTAAAACGCGAATTGACAAAACATATTTCAAGATTAATTTGGTTGGATTTTGTAGACGAATTAATTGCCGAGAATGATTCATTAAAAGAAGAATATCATTTTGATGGAGTTCATCTGCATCCGGGTTACATTAAACTTTTAGAAAATTGTTTACAAAGTAGCAGTATGAAGTAGCTAACGAATATTTGGTTTTGTTAACAAATTCTTATTAAACAAAAATTACTTTGATAACGTTTTCTTTAAAAAAAGTTGTGCACATGAGGTTTGTTTAAATGTTTTTCTGTTTGTGTGATTAACGTTAATTGATTCGATTTGAAAAAATATTTTTTAGATTATTGTTGTATTTCTGTATGATTTGTTACAATGAATTTAAGAAGTTAGGCCATATTGATGAAGAATATGTGTTCCTTAAAACATTTAGTTATTTAGTCAACAAATTCCCTATTTAATAATAATAATATATATAGGGGCCATCCATAAAGGACGTCATCGAAAAAGGGGGGGAGCTTGTCAGAAAAGGACGTCACTTTATAGATTTTTTATTTTAGTTTAATTAACATGGAAAACTACGTAAACACGTGTTTTTAAGAAGATAATGTATGAGAATATTTTTAATTTTATCTTTCAGAGGTGTAGCAGCAGATTCAAACATCATTGCAAGATGAAATAAATTTTTTTTGAGTTAATAATAGGGAGGGGGGTCAGGATTTTATGACGTCCTTTTCCAGGGGGGTATAGGGGAAAAGGTCAACCGGTGACAAAGGGGGGGGGGGGAGAGGTGTCAAAAATTAACTAAAAAATGGTGACGTACCAATTAACTTCTAATTAAAAAAAAAAAGTTCATTTATATTATAAAAGTTATTATTTTTAAATGCCTAATGTAATACTTTTGATGGATGACATAAGTTTTAAAAATTTCAACCTTTTATGCATTTTAAAATCATAAAAATATTTAATGTTCATCTAGATATGTCAGGCAATATGTATTTAAACTTGTCATGTTTTGCAAATTTCTTTAGTTTTTTGCGTAAATTTGTGTTGACGTTTTTAAAGCGATGACATAAAACGTCAAAATATTTTCTCTAATATTATAATTTCGGATTTTGATGTCTGATCTTTAATAATTCCTGTTTCATACAACAATTAGTTTAAGTAAACTTTTTAAAATTATAATGGTCTAACAATGTTTATATTTGGTAATAAATATCTAAAAGATGTTTTTTCGTATTTTGTTTTGATAAAAAGTAATAATAAATTTATAGATAATTTAGCTCGTCATTTGCCCGTTTATTTAAAAATCGAAGGAGGCTTTGGTTAAGCCCTTAAATTTTATAAGATAAAAAAGTCTATTGGTGTTATTCATCTTTTTACAGAACAAAATTATCTATAATATTTAAAAAGTTATAAAAGTTAAAGTAACATTTTTTAACATTTTCAAATAATAACAAGAAGCCGTAAAGTTCACTTTAAACAGCCGAATTTACAATATTACGAGAATACAAGATACAAGATTATAATGTTTACAAAAAATGTGCCGTTAGGTCTATAGAGCTCAAAGACTAAAAACAGAGGCAACTAGCCCTGGTTTCTCTTATGTTAAACTGAAAGTACGCTTTGCAACGGCGAGGAGGGAGGGGGTCAAGTTTCTAAATTTTTTGTATGGATGACCCCTTAAGAAATAAATGTTTCATTAGTTAGCCATTAGTATTTGATTATATATATTTTATCATATATATTATTGTATATATTATATCTGAAATCTTATTAATATAATAATGATATACAATATCATGAGTAAGTCATTCGTTAAGATTAGTTTAATAATATTTATTAATACATCTTTGTTTTAACTAAGAAATTAATTAACAAAGCTGAAGTTTTTTTGTATAGTTTTCTTTTGTAAGTAATACTTTTTCGTCTTTGAAAACGAATTAGTCTAACTTGAATTATTTGTGAAGTTATTAATTAATGAAGAACACAGAACGTAAGCATGAAAAAATTCATGTATTCACATATACGCAAGAAGATGTCCAGGATGAGTTTCCTAACGTTGAAATTGCGTTTCATATTTACCTTGCGCCATCATTAACATAATGTAAATACGGGAAAAAGTTACATCTTGGGAGAAAGATTTTTTTAAAAAATGAAATTGATCAAAATTAGGCTGCGTATCTCCATGCTTCAAGAACGGCTCACTAACCAACCTCTTAACCAGTCTCTTATGAGTATTGAAAGTGACTTCATGAGGGAAATGAACTCTGATAATACCGTTAATTACTTTGCTGACCATAAATTTAGGAAACGACACAATTATGATTTATTACTATAAAATGTGTAGCATTATTGCTGAATATTATTTTCTGTATCACTTATTTATTTGATTTTACTGGTAATAAACTTATGTCACTAATCTGAAGGGCAAAGGACCCAATACTGTATTTTAGCCCAGACACCGACAATAGTAAATTCGAACCAGCTTCCCCGGTTTCCTTTTATCAAAAGATAAAAATAAAATTTTTGAATAGCCTTTTGCAAACTATTTTTATGGGACAAAATAATTTAAAATTTTTATTTTACATTTGATTACATTTGAACCTTTACTCCAATTTTTTAAACTTGTATCTATAATTAATATAGCAAGTCTTTATATTTATAACAAATTTTTTTGAAAAAAAAAAAAAATATTGTAAATATCTTGTTTAACTTTCATTGTTTTCTTACGAAAAATTTTATCACATTTATTTTAAAGATTCTCGACGATAAGACCTTAGGCTTTTCTTCAAGTCTTTAATTTATAATTTAGAACTTTTTTTTCTGGTATTTATGTTTTTATATTTTATCTTGTAAATTAAATATTTTTACCTTTTACATGATCGGAACAGTAAACATATTTAAGTACGTAAACATATAAACATCGATATGATAGGAAATGTTGTAAGGGAAATGTTTGTTTCTATTTTTACTGCGTGAAAATTCAAGTTCCTTTCTTTTCTAATGCTAATTAAAAAATTTTTTCAATAGGATATTGTAATATTTTATTTCAATTAAATTTAATTTGATCAGTTATTACTGATTTTAAAAAATACTTGCATCGGACAAGATTCTTAATTAAATATTGACTCTTAAACAATAACTAAAAATGTAACATATAAATAGCAACCAATCATATTTGGTTTAAATAATATTTTTTGTTATAAAAGTAGTATAAAGTCAGGCTTCTAGTTGCATTAGAATCTTTTAGAAGTTTCTATTTCTCCAGTCAAGAAAACAATCGTGAACAAAGAGGTCAATAAGTCTGTAAGTTTACAATTACTTTTTAAATTCGTTATTTACAGTACATAACATTACAGTACATATTTATATCATTTCGTTTTACCCGTTATTTCAATAATCGTGTTGCTTCGTTTCTTTTGAGTGCCAAAAAAAATTTTGATGAAATTTGAAAGTTATAATAATTTTAATTAATATAATAATGCTATTTTATTATAAGGTAAATCTTTTTTTTTTAACTATTTTTTCGGGAAATATTCTGTCTTTCAAGTCATAGTTTTTTATTTAGGCAAAATAATTTAAAATTATAAAAAAATTTTTTAATTATAAAATTATTTAGAGGCTATTTGGGCAAAATACTTTAAAATTAGTCGTATCAAGTCATATATAGTCTTACATGCTTAGACTAAAAAAATATATTAGAGTATTAATTATAAAATTAAGATAACCTAATATAAGAAATATTAAAGAATAGAAACATGTCTATCTTTAAAAAATAGTTAAAATGATTCACCAAATTAACTTATTTCACAATTATGATATCGAATGATGACAGTATTGTGAAACAATGACTAAAATAAATATTTTGTTGTTGATAAACTTAATTTTGCACTATAATAATTTAAGAATTGATGTTGCAAATAAGTCACAATGCAACGAGTGTAGCACAGTGAATCGTTTACAAAATGCTAGGTAGACAAAAAAGTTTTGTTCTGTAAATTTATTGCTAAGAATGTATTAATAATACTTTTGTATTTCATTGATTAATTATGCATTTATTGATTATTTGTAAACTTTAGGGAACTTTAGTATTGAAAATATTAAATACGTAGTAAAAATAAATACTTAATTTCAACACCTCATAAACTATTTAATAAATTTAATAAAGTTACGTAAAATAGAAAATTTCAAACTATAATATAAAAATTCTTTTATTTCACTGTTTGACTAATCGGATTCTAAGTAATTTTCTTTAACGCACTTTTATTGCCAACCTGACGCTGTGGTGCTGTGGTGTGACGCTGTGACGTGGGATAAATAAATTCAAAAATTCTAACGGTAATTTCCCAGTTTTCTTATAAACAGTTCTCTGTTTGAGTTGATGACATCCTGATGACAGGATCGGAAGTTATTTAAAGCATATTATGCAAATCTATATTAGAAGAAATACGCGAAAGAAAAAAAAATTTAGCAAATTCTAGCAAAACCGACGAAAGTTTTTATTGCGGGTTTAATGACTCTTCTATTAGTTTCCCGATTGGAAGAATACATGTTTTATAACTTCCATACTATTTACAAGTGTGCACAGTAACAGACAGTAGCACGATATTGAATAAGATAAAGAAATTAAGATAAAGACTTTTGGTTTTAGAAAATTTAGTTTCAAAAGTTTTTCAAATTCATTAAAAGTCAGCCTGAGAATAACATTCTTAATAAAATAATGAAATATTAAATGAGATTGACGCAGGGCCGTCTCTCGGGGATATGTTAGGGGTTAAGTTAGGGGAGGAGGTTAAATGCCCCTTTTTTTTAAATCTTAGTTGTCAAAATATTTTTTTCTAGGTCTTAGTCAGCAAAAAACAGACACGTTACTTCCCCCCCCCCCCCCCTTTCTTTAAGATC